TTTTTCTGGCATCCAATTATGTTATCTGATAGGGGTTGTCGTGGGGCGTGCAGTCAGTACCTTTTCCATGCCGTTCATTATTCCATCTGCGATATCCAATATCCATAACCTCATTTTGATCCAAATTAAACAAATTTTTCATTGGCAGGATATTGCATGGTTCCTGTGTATCCACTTAGTCCATTGAGTTATTTGCCATGATTTTATTGAGACAGTCTAGGCAATTCAATGGTGAGAGTGTCACTGTGGGTTATTTATTGCACATTAATTGCACAGAAAATTAGCTCGTATTAGGAGATTTGATATAACTTTATTACCGATATCATCACAAAGTGTAACATCAGGAACATTTAAAGGCCGGCTGTACTAGTTCAACCAGAAGGGATTAGACCACCCAGCGAGCCAGCGAGGTCACTGTGACCAGTGGCTATCTCATTTACTAAGCTTTGTGGTATAGGGCCCTGCTCTATTACTGGGAAAATATTTAGTTTCTAATTACCCCTCTTTTTTTTGTTGGGGGGGGGGGGGATGGTGCACATTACATATCAGCTTTTAATTTGGGTTAAGTCTGCCCTTAACCCATACATAGTTCCCTAGTGTGAAAGGAGCACAGACGCCAATCTGGTTGGCGACATCATACCTGTATGAAACCAACACCATTGTGATTTGTTTCCCTTTATCTAATGAGAAATGGCAGGGTCTAATTGGGGCAGATTTGATATAAATCAAAATTTTACCCCACGGGAATAATTCAGCTCTGATTCTGATGACACAGAATGTATGGTATCAGAAGGCCTGTTTTCATCAGCTCGAGTTTGCCAAATAACCCGCTCTTTTCAGACTCTGGATATTAACCCGAAGCTCGAAATGCGTCCTCACTAGACCGACAAACTAGCCCGGAGGGGTGCAAATTAGCCCCCTATTTCCCAAATAGCAGAATATTTTGGAAACAACACCAATCTTTCTCTCGATATTTTCTTGACCAAATATCCGGCTAATTGCAACTGCGGGCTGATGAAGACGCAAATTATAGAATGTTGAAGTAGCAGGTTATTTGGCAAACTCGAGCTGATGAAGACAGGCCTAGAGATGCATTTTGTATTCAACTGAGGCTCATTCATTCTGAAACTCTCATTAAATGGTGTCATCCCTCCCATCTGCCCAGACTGTATCTTTAAAGATAGAGCGTGCACTTGTAAAGAATATGTTACCAATATCATCCCTTAAATTGCTTTGCGAGGGAACATGATAGTTATCACTCATGTTAAAAAAATGATGAAGTACGCGATTCGTCTTTTTTCCACCACCGTTAATATTATTCTGGTGTCATTTTCAGTATTGGATTTTAAAAATCCAATCTTAGTATTATTGCTACAGCTCAAATACACATATAATGAGGTCAATATGAAAATTGCTACTCTATGAAATTGTCAGATTATTTGTTATTGATACAGACCCAGTTCAAATGTTAGGAGATTTGCATGAAAATTGCTACTCTGTGAGTCTTGGAGATAGTGTATCATTTGTACATCTCAAATATTAGGAGATTGGTATGAAAGTTAGTACTCCAAAGCTTTGTGATATTGGTAGTTGATTCATGTGCGGAACAAATAATATGAGATCCACATAAGAATAATTGCTACTCCCTATTAGAGTTTCAGATATTTGTATTGACCCACATATTTTTAATAAGACCCAATTCAAATGTACAACATTTGACCCCCAAAATAGAATACAACTTTGTAAGATAGTTTTTAGTACAGTTTGTATAAGGAGATTGGTATTGGTATTGCTGCTCCAGTTTCAATGGAATGTTTTTATTATTGGTGCAGGTGAACACAACAAGATGATATGATAGAAATACTCCCCAGGGAGTGGAGACGGTGCACATTGTGCTTGAATGAATCTGGTGACCAGAGTAAAATATCTGCGAAGTGCTTAGAGACGGTATTTCATTTAAATAGCGCTATGTAGATCCTGATCATTATTATAATCATTATCAATACTATGAGGCCCTTCGATCATTACCTCTGTCAAATATACTCATTGCCATATTCTTTTTTAAAGCCTTTTTGAAGTTCCGGAGTAATATCTCATGACTTTGAAAGTCCTCATTATACACTTATTCCCATCAACTATAATCATTTGAAATAATGTCCAGATTGTCTAGAAACTGCAGTTGCAACAACCGAGTAGGATTTAAACACCCAGCATAACCAATAAAGCTAACGAACGATATCACGGTACCTGTCACCCATCGTTAATTAGCCAAGCAAGCGCGGTTGTGACGGCTCAGGATGTCTTTCAAAATTGATGGACCGCGTGATTGGCTTTGTTTAGTCGCTGGCCCCATCTTCATTATCATCTCTAGTATTTGTTGGTACAGTGCAAATACCAGATGAAGACGACTATGGAAATTGCCATCTGAATGACATGTAGCGTTTGTTGTCAGATTTGAAAACATTGTCAAGTTTTAAAAGGTCAAATCTGCATTACCAACCACCTGCATGATGCACATGTAGATGGACTGTCTGCTGTGAAGACCATTTTCTTCTCTGTTGATCTTTTTTTTCCCTTTGAAATTTCAAAGGGTATTTATTCTGTTTTCAATACTTTAGGGGCTCTCAGAAAATTACAATTTTGGTGTTTGGATACAATTACCAAGATACCCATTATACATTCAGACTGCCACCAATAAAAATTGTGAAATAGTAAAGATATTGTACTTGTAGGTGAATATAAGTATTATTTTACAATTCATTTGTAACATGAAAGAGGGGAAAATATGTTATGATACATGATATACTTATGCACTTTTCTTTTAACATATGAAGTAATAATTTCCCCCAAAGCGATGGTTCAATTAGTTCTGTCTTCAAATTGAGGTTTTCATTTATACCATGATACTGTTTTAGACTTGGTAAAGCAGTGCCAATAATGGTAGAGGATCATTTCCCTTCTGATACATAGTGCCCTCTCTTGTTGGGTTCTTTATAGTTGCAAAGCTATTGTAGTCGTGAGTGAATACATGCAACAGTGCTGTTCGTTGAGTGCTTTGTAAATATTCTACTTTCATTCAATCATTCATTTATTTTATCCCACTGGCAGTATAAAAAACCAAAAGAACAATTTTAAAATGGCAAGATACATGCCAGAATAGATAAATGTTTGCTAGTGTAGGTTGCTGCAAAAAAGAAGAAGAAGGGAAAAGGCCCTTAAATTATAGGGCTGACCCTGAAGTTTAAAAATATATGCTATTATATAATATGTATGTAAAACTATTTTAGCATTGAATTCTTACAATGTATTACAAGTCATACATGTAAGTATGATATTTGGTAGAGAGATGTACATGTAGTTAAAAAAGGTGGACAAAGATCATTTGGATTTGCCGAAATTGTCTTTTTCTTGGTTTATCGTGTTGGTTTATGATGAAGTTGACAATTAATTTGTTTGAAGTTTTTAGAGCATTTGAGAGGAAAGCATAATTCCTTGTCTGGGTTGCTGTCCTTTTAAATGAAAAATCAACATAAAGAACTAAAAGAAGGCCAAGTGTGAAATTGTGTAAAAGCAATCAGCTATAATAACATTATCCATGATTGAATAGATCTCCTCAGCAGCGAAGATTCATCAATAATGGATAAATGCTGGATAAAAAGCCTAAATTCAATATATATTTCCTTAGAAGTTTGAGCCGCCCAGACTCCTGTGTAATCATTAGTCGAGAACAAAATGTGTGTAATGTGTTTCATTTCATTAAGATTATGTTTAACCCATTTAATACTACGCATGATGCAGCTCAGAATTCAGTATGTATACATGTATGGAAAATGTGTCATAATACCTAAATCTAATGTTTGTCCCGGAGGGTTAATGATGATAACATCTCTATTTTCAAGTGGTTGAATTTATCACAACATCTCTAAAAGCTCATAAAAATCATCTATCATCGAGCGATCAGTCTACTGGTGTAGGAACCAATCAACTCCGGGTTGCCATGGATACGGCTGAGCTCACAATGCAAATCAAATATTGACCCTTTTTTCCGTCTATAGAGGCTTGAAGTCCTTGTGTAAGCATCCATCGACAGTCCCCTGGCCTGCTCAGCTGAGGCAAATGGTGTTTTGACATCATGATAGAGGGCTTTTTAGCAGCAATAGTCCCCAGTAAAGTGACAATTATGAGTAATTAATGAGGAGGGATTTGTCTTTGGCGGTCAGATGCAGGCAGCCGTCGGTCTGCACAGATAGTCTCGGCCTCTGGCTATCATGATAAAAATATGGGGGGGGGATTATATTGTCATAGAAATGAACTAGGGTAAATTACCCTGAGTCACAGACTACATTATTTATTTATTAAATGTATCAATTTATTAAAATTGAATTGTGTTAAACTTTACAAGTTTTACCAAACTTTATGACCCTATATAGGACCCGATACCACACTAACATCCCCCCTCTCTCTCTCTCTCTCTCTCTATCTATCTATCTATCTATCCGTGTACACTTCTTTCTATCATGTTATTGCTTGTACATGTTCTGTTTAATACATTCCCTATTCAATGGAGATGTGGAAATACATGTAAAGTCTTTTCAGTACAAAACAAGTTCCAAATGAATTTGGCACAAATGCAAGAAATTGGGAAGAGGGTGAATAAGTTAGTCAGAATGGCATCTAATACAGTTACACCATACAATTTGTGTACCGGTATATTTGTATACTTATTTCTCTTCATGGTCTTTTTCCAAAGCTACAAAACTAATTACAACATAATCATAACATAATCATGATAATAAACAAATAATATAATTAAAACATCATTAAGGTAAAATACCTACATTGTAATACTAACTATAATAAAATAATCATGAAGAAGGATTGCCACCTAAGCTTACCTTGAAAGCGTGGTAATTCCTTTATAGAGCTTAATAATTCCTGTATAAAATAGTCTATTCTTTATTGCAAAATGAGTCTGATATTTTCATTGGTTATCCTATTTTTCCTTTTCTTTTTCTTTCGTGTTTTAACAGGTCTGAAAGACTGAAACCCAATGTAGGCGTGGAACACATCCAGCCTGATCCAAGCAAACTGGCACAGAGCCAACTGGGGAACGGCAATGGACAAGCAGAAGCAATCGGAATTGTGAGTAATGCAGTAAATGTACCCCCCCCCCCTCCCCCCCAAAAGAAGAAAAAAAAAATGTCAATATTCTTTATCATTAAATACTGATTATTTTGATGTTTCGGAATGTCTGAAATGTTTTTTGGTAGAATATTTCTTTCATATCTCATTATTTGTTTTGATAAGTCTCTGTGAACTTACTGACACTATAAGAGGGTTAATTTCATATTGTAAGACTTAAAGACTCACACAAGAACAAAACTAGTCTGACATGATTGCTGACTTGAGCTGCACTGCTATATTTTACTGCATCTTCAAAATGGCTGCCAAGATGGCTGACATGCAGGCCATAAAACATTTTCACCTAATCACAAGATTGCACATGAAGTAAGTAACCAATAGAAAACCTATGGAAAGATAAAGTGCCATGTGTGTATTGTGAACTGGGTCGAATAGCCAAGATATAGGAAAAGTGTGTGCATGTGTGTGTGGTGCTATGGCAGGTAAAGTTGAATGATATATTTCTTTTCACTTCTCAGGCCCAAGGTTTAGACGATGACTCGATGCAGTTTGGGGAAGAGCTAGGGAAGATCCAGTTCTCGCTCATGTATGACTTCCCAGACCAAACGCTGGTGCTAAGGATAGTCAAAGCAAATCATCTACCTGCCAAAGATTTTAGGTCAGTGTCAAGATTGCATTTAAATGAAGATCCACGGTGGTGTATAGAAGACGATCACAAACACTTTCTCAAAATCAACCTACAGCAATTTACAGTAGCCTTGTTCTTCACTTGTATGAACATTACGAGGATGAATTAGTATTGCAATTCCACTGTAGCTAATTTCTTGAAAGTTTTTCCAATCTTGTTAAAAGATTTACATTGTAATATATTACCATTATGATTCTTGCCAGTACTGACTACTATCTTAAATTACTTGTAAATGGTAAAATGACAATATACAAAAATATACCTTTATTTTTCAAATATGGAATTATCCCTTTATGTTTATTAATAATAAACAAAAAGGGATATTTAAGACATGATTTATGGGGAACTTCATATCTAAATTTTGGGGTTTAATTTACCTCAAACATTTGAAGAACATTTCTCTGTTTCCCCTCAAGCAAATTTGTATTTATACTTAGTCGTCTTTTATTGCATTTGATTTCAAATCATTGAAGAGAATATTTTTTCTTTTTAACATTCAGGGGAGATACACCTGGGCCCCATCTTATAAAAGAGTTTTGATTGGTTACAAAATAATTGATGTAAATTGCATTTCCTATCAAAAGTACAGAGTTGCTATAGAAATCAATTGCAAATTGTTTGTATGTAATCACAACTCTCTTAGAAGACAGGCCCATATCTTCTGGAAATATTCACTTTTGCTGAGGCATCTATCTATCTATCCAAGTATCTTCTCCCGGTTCGGAGGTTGCTTGCAACATCTCTCCATTTCACTCTATCTTCTGCCATTCTGGTGCATTCTTGCAGTTTTAGTCCACTCCAGTCCTTGACATTCTCTTCCCAGTTGATTGTGGGTCTCCCTCTCAGTCTGCTTCCTTCCACACTTCCCTCCAACATACCAGAGGCTTTGGTGCCTTTTAACATGACCAAAGTATTTGACTTTTTCTCTCCTTAACTAATCCTACCAGTGCAATTGTTTACCCCCTGCCATGTGCAATATATCTTCGTTGGTTTTCATATGTTTCCAGGATATCTTCATCATTCTTCTGTTAATCCACATTTCAAAAGATGTTATTCTATTTTCCTGAGGAAATATGGTGTTAAATAATGTATTCTACATATCTTTGATTATCTTTTATGGATTCTAGCGGAACAAGTGATCCTTTTGTCAAAATCATGCTCCTGCCAGATAAAAAAGTCAAAATGGAGACAAAGGTGAAGAGGAAAAACCTGAATCCCATCTGGAACGAGTCTTTCCATTTTGAAGGTAAGTCCAGGACTGTATGCTTGGATCAGAATTAGACCAGGGTGGTGTTTCACAAAGACTAAGATCGACTTTAAGTTGGACTTAACTATGGTAGGCCGTTCATGCTACTGTTCGCTCTCACCATTTACTGACATTGGTCCCTCAAGGGACGTATAAATCATAGTCACAAATCTTCGGATTGTACTTTTTTTGATAATTCATTATTGAAGGAAAAATTATTATGTAAAGATCATAATGGTGAGAGCAAACAGTGGCCTGATTAGCCTCCCCAAGGCCTTGTTCTTGTTGACAACTGAGTCTTCTCATTCCTATAGACTTACATGTAATACAGGAACCACCCATTTCTAATAGGCACCAAGTTTAATAGAGCGGGACTGCACTACTTGTAGCTACTTGCGCCCTCTATATTGCAAACATTGCCGAAGCCGTACCCGTTGGTCCCCCATGATCCCCTTTTTCTTAATATGTTAATCGAGAGCTTATTTGATGAGATAACCACCTGTCAGTGACCATGCAGGGAGGTCTAATCCCTCCTGGCCAAACTAGTGCTGATAGGCTTTAAGATTTATTGTGTACAGTCAAAATAAACCACATGCCTGTTTAAAAAAAGTTGTTATCAATTACAAGTCACAAAGACTGTTATAAACTACTGAAAACAGATTGGGGGAGACCAAATTTGTCATTGACACTTGTTGTTGAGGAGGCGCGATAGCTAAGTCGGTAGAGCAGTGGTCTCGTAATCCGGTGACCCAGGTTCGAAACCAAGTCGATGTGCTAGTGCCCTTTGGTAAGGCATTAATCCTCATTATCGGGTCTCTTGGAGAGGACCTAAAGCCGTCTGTCGTCTGGTTGCTTACTTACAAGCATCTATGCTTTCTTAGCAGTCAGGTATTAACAAAAATAACAACCAACCACAATTTTTTATAAATAACAGGGCCTAGTTCGTAGTGTTTTCCCTTTCTATTTATATTGTCTGCCAAGAGGGAGAGGGGTATTAACTTACTGGAGGGATGTGATTTCATGTCAATCTAGCTCTCAAGTGCTTTTATTGAAAGTGAATTGTTTGAAGGCCCCAGTTGGAGGTTCCTGACAGATCACAAAAGAATGGTCCATCAAATATTAGAAATTGAGGCTGTTATTAGGTCAGTTTTAATATAAGGCTTTCGCCATTGTAGTCACACTGACATTGCTATCTGAAACACACAGTCACTTAGCCGTCCTGTCTTCTCTCTTCTACCATTCTAATTTATGAAACAATTACCATTCTTTCGTAAGTTTACATGATTAGAATGTCTCCCTCTTTCATTCTTGCCCCCCCCCCTCCTCCTTAAAAGGGAATCTGATGAAAAAGACAAAAATAGAGAGTATTGACTTATTTTAACAAGTTTGATTGGAACTTCTCCATCTCCTGCCATTGGAAGGTGCAAGGATCTTCCAAGCTGTTTGCCAGCTCCATATCTAGTCTTCATTCCTCAGACACACTATTATCTGTAAAATGAAGACTGTATATAGTTGCCTCAAATGACCAGTGCTTCCAGTACGTCCATGAAATTCAAACTGATTCTTTTTTTTTCTTTTTTTCTCAAAATTATTGGCATGATGAAAAAAAATTGATCCTCCTCCGGTTATCAAAATTGAGGATTCATATTGCTATACTGAAAGTTACATATAAATGTGGATTCTGCGTAACAGTACATAACTGAGATATGAAACAAAAGTGGTTTACCCATACATAACTTCATATTGACATATTTGAAAACTAAGTAAAACAAAACAAAAATGTTACAAGAAAACTCCTTTTTCTTTTGGTTTTTTAAAACAAAAATGTTTGCAGTGTATTTATTTAATTAATGTATTTCACCTTCGTTTTCAAATGCATTTTAATCAATGTATTTCATAAGTAAAAAATGCTAATACTGTCGTTTTGAGAAACATTTTGTGCTTCCTTTTCTGGGTTGTCTTGTTGTTTTATCAAACTTTAGATTGATTTGTTCCCATTACCTAAATCGTTGAACTATCAATTATGTAATGATGGCATGTACATGGAAAGCACGCAGGTTGCAGAGGTTCAGATTAAGGTCTGAAACATAGACTACCACTCTCTTGGGTCCCATTCACAATCTCTCTCTCTCTCTCTCTCTCTCTCTGTCCTTTATTGATAAATCATAATGGGGGAATATTTTTCAATTAGTCCGCGCCACGCTTCAGTGGACCGGGGGATGGCAATTACTTTCTAGTGGATGAAGCAAATATTTCTGAACACCTTTCCAGTTTAAAGGTGCTCTACACTCGTTCGCTGTATGGATTGAAGTGAAGGAGAGGGAGAGGGATGGAAGGAGAAGAGAAGAGAAGAGAAGAGAAGAGAAGAGAAGAGAAGAGAAGAGAAGAGAAGAGAAGAGAAGAGAAGAGGAGAGGAGAGGAGAGGAGAGGAGAGGAGAGGAGAGGAGAGGAGAGGAGAGGAGAGGAGAGGAGAGGAGAGGAGAGGAGAGGAGAAGAGAAATAAGGAATAGAGAAAGAAGAATAATAGAAAGTAGGAGAAGGGAAAGAAGGAGAAGAAGGAAACAGAGAAGAACAGACAAGGGGATGGATAGACAGGGATGATAATAATGATAAGAGAAAGGAAACATTTGAAGTGAAGGAGAGGGAGAGGGTTGGACATAGCTGGAATAAAAGAAGGAAAGAGAAGAGAAAGAAGGAGAATATAATGACAATATAATGACAAGAAGTGACCAGAAGAAATGATGGAGGTGAAGAAATGGATAAATGAAATAAAGAAAAGAAAAGTAAGATGAGAGATTGAGAGAAGAATAGAGAAGGACGGATAGACAGGGATAATAATAATGAGATAGAATGAAGCCAGAAGGAGAAAGAAGAGGATTGGAAGAAACATGGCTACAAGAAAAATGGAAAGCAAGAAGGGAAAGGAAGGATAGATGATAGATAAGTGAAGGAAGAAAGTAAGCAAGATGGAATGGGGCAGAAGAGGAAAAAATGAGAAGAAAGACAAGCAAAAAAAGTGAAGGAGTAGGAAGGAATGGGGAGAGGGGGGGGGGGGAGGAGGGGGAGGGGGGGGGGGACAGTAACCGAATATGAAAACAAAGGGATAGACAAGTAGAGAAAAATGAACGTTTCAAATATGAATGACATTGCTATTTTTTCTGGCATTACCTTCAAATGAGCAACGGCTTTAAAAGGCTTTGTATATTGTATTACCAGTGTCTGAAGGGTGCTAACGCCCCTTTATATGTACACGTACACAGACTTAATGACCTTCATGTTCTGAACTTAAAAATACAAGGCATTCTTGATAGATGCGAACAACATCCATCAAAACACATCCATTAATCAGTATTTTCCCTTTAAAACTTCACACTTACCCGCTCATCTAGACCGTGACGGTATGTAGTACCTGTTTACGTGTTGTTTTGGAACGGAAGCTTATTACTGCCGTAATGACCTAGCTATTTGACAGATATGGTGATGGAAAGGTTCTTTCTGTTTTTTAGAAGAATCAATCTCATTTGTGAACAGTCATGCATGGCTGCTTTCTATGCATCGGCGTGAATGCAAGGTGCAGTTCGTGTTTTATTGTACACCATAATTTGCTTAATTATTTTCATACATTATTTTTTGTTGTTTTGGGAATAGACTTTTCGAAATAGCAATTAATACACCTTTTGCTTGTCCTAGCTTTAGTGAACCTTGAAGTTTAACTCATTTAAAATGTAGTTAGGTAGTTCCAATAATATATTTCTTTCTCTTTCTCTTTCTCTTTCTCTTTCTCTTTCTCTTTCTCTTTCTCTTTCTCTTTCTCTTTCTCTCTCTCTCTTCTCTCTCTCACTCTCTCTCGCTCTCTCCTGATCATCCCTTATCTCTCCTCCCTCCACCCTCTTCTTCATTTTCCTATCATTCTTAGCTCTTTCTTTGTCTTTTTTCTGCCTAAATCTCCCCCAAAGAAAACATAAATTCTGTCTTTCATTTGGTTGGTTGGTATGTTTTACCTGACTGCTAAGAAGGCCTGTGTATGCTTTGAAGTAAGTAAGCAACCAGGGGACCAATGGCTTTAACTTCTCTCTGAGGGACCTGGTAATGAGGATTAATGCCTCACCAAAGGGCACTAGCACATCAAATTGGTTTGAATCCGGGACCTCTTGGTTACGAGACCACTGCTTGACCACTGATCCATCACGCCTCACTCAAAACTTATGCAAAGCCGATAAGCAAATTAAACTCTAATGTGCGTCTGTTCCTCTATTTTTTTTTATAAAGCGCGTTTAATCAAAATTGGTCATTACCAGATACTTTTCCGCATTGCCTCTTTGGTATTGTATGTGAGTCAATGCCCTTCTTAGTTTTTTTTAACCCAGTACTCGCTACTGCAAATAATGCACTCGACCATGACGTGTCTACATTTTTGTAATCATCATCATCATCATTTATTAAAGTCAGCATTAAATTCAGCTCTTGCGAGGGGTCACTGACTGTTGTGTTATGATGACACTCCCTTCCTCCACTTCTTCTTTGAGCACCCTCCTCATTTAAAGCCTCACTGCACTACTTATAGCTTCTTGTGCCCTCTATATAGTAAACAATGCCTAATCGGTGCCTGTTGGTCCCCCATGATCCCCTTTTTCTTGATGAGATAACCACCTGTCAGTGACCTTGCAGGGACTCTGGGAGGTCTAATCCCCTGGCCAAACTAGTACAGACAGGCTTTAAGACTAACCTTACTGCTTTCTTTCTTTAACGCATCTTTCCATGAAATAACACCACCAAATTTTTTTTTATTGTTTTATCCTTTAACAGGTTATCCATACAGCAAAATACAAGAGCGTGTCCTACATCTGCAGGTGCTAGACTACGATCGCTTCAGTAGAAACGACCCGATTGGAGAGATCAACTTGCCACTAGCCGAGATCGACCTGACCCACGAGAAGTTATACTGGAGGTCACTTACGCCGAGTAAAAAATCATCAGTAAGTCATTAGTAATCTAATTTTTTAGGGGTTGAACTTACTTTGCCAAGGAAAGAAAATAGGGCTTAAAGGTAAAGACCAGTATTGGAAACGCCCCAATTTCAAAAAAATGAAATGGAAGCTCTCATTACCAATCATGTGAAAGAATATGTTTTGACTAATACATGATGATAAAAAATTTGCCGGGAAACCGCCTACTAATTCATATATTTGGTAAATTTGTTTCTCTCATGGTCTGTGAGAGATATAGGGTAGTCCCATATACATCTTTCTGTGTATAGTGCTTGTAACTTTACGAAGAATGGGCCAAATTTCTTATCATTTTGATGATTCCAGAACCTTGCAGATGCTAGATGCTAGATGATCAACCTTTTCTAATCGATTCCACAACGTTTCTTTCACAATGCAATTTCATGACCATAACTGGTCTTTACCTTTAAGCCTGGTGTCTGTGTGGTTGGCAGTGGGGGAAATTATCTTGTTTTAATGTAAACTTTGTAGAGTACAAGAAATAGGGGGTGTAGCAGGACGAGAATAAGTGTCTTTCCCGTGGCCTGACTCAGGAGCCAATCGGGTATAATACGACTACGGACGACGCAAACCGCAGTATTCATGTATTTGCAACATACGCAAAACCAAAGCATGAGGAGAACTTCGGTCTGTTTCGCGAAGGCTAGCGCGTGCTGACCGTTAATCAAGTCCTTTCGTTTATGTGCAGTTGTCCAAAAGAAGTCGTAGAAGGCGTATACCAGTATTTTTGCCAGGCTACACCCCCTTTGAAGTTTAAATTATGTTCTCATTTATATTTGTTTTTGCAGAGTAAGCTTGGTAGTATACAAATATCACTCTTTTATCTAGATTGTTATTCTCCTTTTCTTTACATTTATTTTTTGCAGGTTAAATTAGGTAGTATACTGGCATCACTTTGCAATAGAGTACCAGACTTGTATCTCTCTGATGTGCACCCAAGGCAGGAAGGATAACAAACTAACTATAACAGTTCTCAAGTGTTGCAAATTTGATGAAGAAAGGCGGATGAATTTAAATTATCTTTTTTCTCTCTTTCAGGGTAAACTAGGAAGTTTACTAATATCTCTCTGCTATGCACCTACGGCAGGAAGGATAACTATAACAGTCCTCAAGTGTCAAAACCTTGCAGCCAAAGATATCACCGGAAAATCAGGTAAGCTGTCGAACTGGGCTCAAAGTTGAAAACAAAACACTAATGATAATGGATATTGTCATACTAGCACACCTATCCACCATGCAATGTGCTCAAGGCGCTCAATTATTACCCCTGATAGGCTTTTGATTTTGGTGATCGCATCATTCAAGGTTCACTCATGATGCAATACTGAAAAACCATAACATTCACATGAAACTTTCATGATGTGAAATATTCATAATTACAACTGACACGAACACCGTTCATTTGAATTCCTTTCAGCGACAATGGCCTCTCCCCCCCCCCCCCCTTTTTGTTGAAGTTATGTTTCTTGGGACAATGTTCATATTTGTTGCATACATGCCAACTGTTCAGATTAAAGAGGAACATTCCTCTTTTTGGGAGAAGATAATTATCATTTTAATGCAGGTGTTCCTCTTCCTGTACAAATTTGTCTGTAGTATTGAATAGGAGAGTTAGGATTGTTCCTCTTTTTTTTGAAAATAGCATAATTTGTACAGATTTCTGATTTTCAAATGTTGGCATGTATGTTGTTGTATTCAAATATTCTTGATCTAAAGATAGAAATGTCATTAAGATCATGTTTGGAAAGGGAGTGGCATCGAAGGTGAAGTCCATCTTGGGTGTGGCCATCACATGACGATGCCTGCGATGATGATATTCCAGTAGTAGACCTGGAGAGTATTTCACAAAGACTAAGATCATCTATAAGTTGGACTTAACTATGGCAGGCCATTCAAGCCACTGGCTGCTCTCACCATTGGTCTCTCAATTATGATCTTTAGATAATACTTATTCGTTCAACAATGAACAATCAACAAATGTAAATTCTCTAGATTTGTGACCATGATTTGTACGCCCTTTGAGAGACCAATGCCAGTAAATGGTGAGAGCAAACAGTGGCATGAAGAGCCTGCTATAGTTGAGTCCAACTTAAAGTCGATCTTAGTCCTTGTGAAACACCCCCCTTATATGGGACGCTATGATCATTCGCACATTTTTTCTCTGAAAGAAAATAAAGCCTTGGGTATTTTTCTGTCAATCAGATGGTATTACAAGAGTTTAAATTTAATCTTTATCTTGCCTATTTCCCTCCTCGTGTCCTTCTTTCAGATCCTTACGTGAAAATCTGGCACATGCACAAGGACAAACGCGTCGAGAAGAAGAAAACCGTCATCAAGTACCACACGCTTAACCCCGTTTATAACGAGTCCTTCGTCTTCAACATCCCGCTCGACAGGATACGCGACACGACCTTCGTCGTCTCGGTCCTCGACAAGGACCGGCTCTCAAAGAACGATATGATCGGTGGGATCCTCCTTGGGGCGCGAACGTCGCCGGCCGAAATGAGCCATTGGAACGAGATGATGAGCAAGCCGCGGACTAATATCGCAAAATGGCACGTGCTGAAAGGCGTTAATTGATGATTGCGCCACCGAGGGGGCTGTTCGACGTGGAGTCGGTTCTTTCAACAGTTGTAATGCGTATTTCATCGATGAGGAAATTCGCGATTGTAGTTGTATTGGAACCATGAGAGATAGGACAGTTAAAATATCATACAGTTAGCATTCTCTTATCAGGGGAACTATTCTTATCTTCAGAATCTTATCGCTACAGAGAGGTTTTCGACGAGGAGTTGGTTCTTTCAACAGTTGTAATGCGTATCCCATCGATGATAGACCTCCAGCCGACTATCAGATGGAAATTCGTGATTCTAGTTATATAGCGAGCATAAGAGATTGGACAGTTAAAATGTCATACAGGTAGTACTCTCTTATCAGGGGAATTAATTGCATCTTCAGAATCGCATAGAAGCACATCATCTTTTAGTGTTCGTCTCAATGCGTATGCTCATGGGTATGGAGAGGCGACATCAATTAAATGCCAAGGCTTTGTGATGGTACATATACATGCATAGGAGTGGATTACATGAATTCCACAAGATATTAACATTGATGTACTTTGATCTACCCGTTACTACGTGTACATTGACTTCTACACTACATAACATAATATCTTTGATGATGATGATGTCATAATTCACGAGAGGACCTTTATTACTTCTGACACTCGATGCATTTTTCTACAGGCTACCGGTACTTGAACTCCTGTATTAAGGGAGGCAATAACCAGTGAAATGCCTAGGAATATAACAATACCTCAGCAGCAGCCACCTTTGCATAGCAAGATAGTGCAGAATAAAATCCCTTGTTATCATTATCCCTTCCTCTCACGTGAGCATAATGTACACCCGGGTACAGAGAAGCAGAAAACTGAAAATGCCTTGAGGATAGTGAAGTCCATGCATGTGCAAAAATATACTTAGCATTGCACCCATTGTTGTGTGTATGATGTATATGAATAGATTCGAGTTCATAGAATATACAAAAAACAAAAAAATGTTATATGATCTATATATTTTATTGTAGAATCATACCGTGATTCTGTTTACTTTGATAAATGTAATACTAAACATTCCTTGTTAGTGCTCCAGTCATGCTTTCACATAAAGCCAAGCCGTAAGCGCCACGTAGGGCCGTTATATAATGATTGTTACATTTGTATAGTGCTTAACATTGCAATGAGTACTACACCGATCACTTGATAATGCACATAGTCTGCTCCCTGGGAAGTATTCCGGACAGGCACCATTTTACAAGCACACACATGCCAATCCAACCACATCAATGTTCGTATCCGATGTAGAAAAGGACTTTAGCGCCGTGGTGAGACTCAAACCGCGGACCATGTGATACACAGTCCGGTGACATATCAACTAGACCATAGATAACAAAATATATATTTTCATGGTCAGCGATTCCAAACGTTTCATGCCACGGATAAGGCCTTCAGCTCCGATTCCTGACAGCTTCACATCGTGAAACTTTCTGGTTTTAAACCTACTGTACATGTGTGTGTTAAATTTTAACTAGGTAATTGAAATCTCAGTCTGCCTCATAGTCTACGTGTACTTCTAAGTAGACCCCAAGACGTTTCCATAGACCTTGTAACTGATTCCTGTACCTGTACATGTATCACAAAATTGGTCTACGTATTTCTTACAACTAGACTTTTGTGAAAGTGTGACTGCACCGTTATAATAATTTAATACAAACATGTAGCTACGATAGGGATGGTGCCATATGTACAAGTTACCTATTAATATGTTTTATTTAGGTGTAGGTTTACTTGCTTATACGTACAGCTCATTTAAATTTTTGCACACTCAAATAAAATGTTCATGTAATTCACAATATTTACGAAGGTCCTGACATTGCAATATTTTGTACCTGATGCACTGTATCCACCCACTAATTTTTCTTTAAAAAGTTAAGAGATATCAAAACTAAAGTGGAAATGCATAATATATCACAACCACTGATGACTATGACAGCACATGTATCTTTCAGAGTACTAGAGAAATATAGATGCATCTGCTTAATAATAATGATAATATTATGTGTTCAATACATCAACGATGTCTTGAGGCGCTTTACAGATTACCCCAATCATCCAATTCAGGCTTGCCTGCACACAATGTATGCACATTCTCCAATCCTTGGGGAGCATTCCAGCCAGGCATCATTTTACAGATGCTCGCAATGCTGACCAAACTACATTAGCGTTTGCATCCAACCGGGTACCCATTAAACACCTAGGTGGAGAGTGGCAAATGTAGATTAATGTCATGCCAAAGGATAAAAGTGCCGGGCTGGGATTTGAACCCTGTACCTTGTGGTCTGGTGACTTATCCAATAGACCACAACTTCTCTGCATCAAAGATTCAAAGTGATAACGACGACAACAAAACTGTTGACTAAAGAAGAAAAAACAGCTGAACATTAAATACATATATTATGCAAAGGGTCACTTTTGTAATAGATACAGCTCTATTTTTTGGAGAAGGTCCAAACCTATTCATCTCAATCTTTCTACCATTGTTACTCAATCTCTCACATACATGTATTACTGATTTTTTTTTGTGTTGTGATAAACTTATTTTAGTTTGAAATATGCTGCAATAGACTACTGCTAGCTGATGTGATATATTTTTTATTCTTTTTATGATTTTCTTTTCTTCTTTTGTATCATAGTCTATTTGCACTTGTTTTGAATGAACCGTTGCCTACTGGATCCAGGTAGTCTATGTGTTAAGCCTATGTGAATCTGAGAATTTGGTATTCTACGGATTAATTGGTAGATCAAGAGTAATGCAATGCTCCCAAAGTGATATAATGTTTAAGATGAAAGAAACTTCAAGTCATAACATAATAATATTTCACTTTTATTTGGTGCTTAATACATCGACGATGTCTCTAAGCTCTTTACAGATTATGTTATTACCCTGGTCATTGGAGTCAGGCTTGCCTGCACACAATGTATGCACACTCTCCACTCCCTGGGGAGTATTCCAGCCAGGCGTCATTTTACAGACGCTCACAATGCTGAGCAAACTACATTAACTGTTGCATCCTACCGGATACCCATTTAAAACCTGGGTGGAGAGTGGCAAATGTAGATTAACATCTTGCCAAAGGACGTTGGGGCCGGGCTGGGATTTGAACCCCGTACCTTGTGATCTACAGTCGGATGACTTATCCACTAGACCACAACACCTCCACAGCGCTGTGATTGTACAAGCATTGTGATTTAGCAGGTTCTGTGGAAGAAAGTTTTATGATACCAAATTATTTTTGTTAGTTCATTCCAATCTAATCTTTCTAATCTTGTAGTGGGTTGTATCTGGAACATAATATATAATATTGTTCATTTTATATTGTCATAAATTTATGAAAAATCCATTCCATACACTTTAACAACACCCCCCCCCCCATCCTTTCCATGTTCAATGCGTTTTGATATGTATATACTTGTTGTTCCCAATTTTGTTTGTGATACCAAATTTATATTAAAATAAGAATCTACCATTTTCAGCCCCTCCTTCCCGCCCACAAGACATGATACGTGTATATTTATATTCATTTATCTATGAGGTTCTTTCATTTTCTTGATATTGAATATGTCTCCCTCACTGTTTGATAGTTATGGTGCCAGAAAAGAGGGAGACAAAGATTCTTAGTTTTTAAACTTTTTCCTTTTTTGTCTTTATTAATAATCAGCATCCTCAAATAAATCAAATAGAGGATAAATTGAAGTTATGTTGATTGTCAAATAATTTCACCCAAAAGGCAAAGACTGTAAAATATAAGATAGCTTTGACTTCGAATCAGAGAGTTAGAAATTGTCACACAAAATTTTGAGGATGCTGAGGAAATGCAGACCAACTGATTTTTCATCAAATTAAGATTTCAATTCATTTTATTTCACTTTAATTGATGAATAAAGTAATGTTGCAAGTTTCATTATGGAAGTCTTTATGGAATCATGATTCAAATCATGGGTTTTAATGTGAAGATAATTGTCACATTCTTCTTTTGTTGCTATGGTTATAGATGAAACTTTAAGGCTGTAGAACTCAATCACATCATTAAGTGACACCCCCCCCCCCCCCATCCGCTTTAGGTCTGCAGTACATGCTACCTTTTGAGGTACTCTTGAGCAAATATCTAAAAGGAAAATGGGCAAAGTTGGCAGTCTAAATTTGAATGGATATGTAAAAGAAGAAAAAAAATTACACTGAATTATTTTTTTTTTTATATTATAAATGTTAAGATTGATTAAAAACATCAATGTAGTCTTTTTTATAGAGGACACAATTTGTTTTTAAAAGGGGATTGTATTGTATATATTGTTGAGTATTTATTATAGGCCTAAAATACAGGTCAAGCAAACTAATAAAACTTTCATGGTAAAATGTTAAATAACCGTATATGTTAACTTTGTAAGAATTAAGTATCTTTATGAAACATATTAATTTACCTTTATTTCTTAATATTAAAGTATGTTTAGACTATTTGACATACCGGTAAATATGAAAGAATGTTCATTGGTTATATTTTCCTTGAGGCAAAACTAGTTTTAGTCATGCAACGTGTCTGTTCAAAGCCGGAGGGGTGTTTACAGTCTGTTAAAGTGTACATGAATGAGTTGATGCCATTTGAGTCTCAAACATAGTTTGGTTTGATGTGAAAAAATAATGATTTTAAATATTTTTATACAAGTTTTGATGATTACTGATCAATTCACTGCAAAGTTTAAAGTCATCATGGATTAGATATCATAATGATAGTCATATGAAATTTGATATTTTTATAGTTCACTATTAGCATGGCTCTAGCTAGGCTATCGATAGCGGTGCTCACAGCATTCGAGGAACTCCTTCCTACTGGTACTCATTTAAACCTGGGTGGAGAGTGGCAAAAGTAGAACAACGTCTTGCCAAAGGACAAATTGTGATTAGGTCATGAGTGAAAAATCATGAAATTTGCATAATACAAATGCTTTCTTTAATGTATCCTTCTGTAAGTGTGCTAGATAGAAGAAGAAAAAATTGCTGAATTGTGACAAATTTGGAACCCTAAATATTCTCTGTGTTTGAAGCATCAAAAGTCTGTAGCTTTGGGATTTGATAGCTTAGCAAAATCGCATAGTTCGTGAAGATGCAATTGGCAATTTTAATAATGTAACCAAATTTAATGCATACTTCTTTGTGAAGTGCATGATACAAATTATTCCATTCACCTGTTACAAATAAATAAATCTCAATAGTTAGGATGCGAACGACATACAGTATTTGTTGCTAGGTGGAACAAACATTATGGCTTTGCCTACCTAACACATAATATATGCAGTCTACATACATGTTATTTTTTCTTAACAGGTGAAAGAAATAATTTGTATTGAGGCACTTCACAAAGACATATGCATTAACATTAAGTTACATTACGAAATCGGCATATGAAAAAGCAATTAGCCAGTTCATATTTGCAGTCTGAGCATGATCAGATAAAGGTCATTGCAGACCAAATTGTGAAATACCCAGAGACAAAATACTGGATAAGTGCTCATTAAATTTATGTAATCATTATTCATTTATGCACATGCAGTGAACTCCAAGATACACAGGTGGAAGTATTCTTTTGCCGGAAAGTTGAAAAGGGGAAACAAACTAAGGCTATTTATGTAGCACCTCCATCGCTGTAGGAGTGATTATTTCAAATCGTAAAAAGTGGGACCACTTCATGTTTTGAAGATCTGTGGATATTTGGGGTCATTTGGGACATGTGCTAACCGTTAACTGGTCTATAAATATTGGCAACTGG